TACTGCATCAGTTAAACAGCAGAGTATTAATTTACTGCTGAGATGATGGTATCTACCAATTCTAATCTCAGTGCTGCTGGGCTATCAGCAAGCTTCAGTGAGTTCAGCATGACACTTGTCACGCAAATGTAGGAGTAATGGGAGAGCCCTGCCTTGCAGATCTGCGGGTGGGCACGGTGCTGGACCCTTCTGAACACCCTAGGGGAAAGAGAATGTGCGATTCTATAAGCTCTGTTTGGCAGCTAGGTGTAACCCAGAGGGTTCACATTTAAATCCAAGGTCTTGTTCCCCTGCTTTGAGTTTTGCTTGAGTGAAATGATTGGAGGTTTTAAAAATATTTCCTAATTTGTATTTGAAAGTAATGGTGAAAATGTGCATACAAAGAAACCACCATTACCCACTGCTTCTTCATCCCTGCCCTCTTCTGTGAGGTGCTTTACTTCACCAAAAGAAATACTTTTAAGTTTTTTCCTTTTCCCTGCTCCTCCAGGCTGGATACCTTTCTGTACCTTTGAGCACAATCACCGGTTGCTCTTGCTTGGGGTTTATTCACCCTGGCTCGACTTGTCCTCACAGGCTTTTCAGTCATTCCCCTAAAAAAAGTCCTCTCCACGAGATGTCCAAAGGCAGATAATGACAGGAGAGATGGGGGAGAGAAGAGGAAAGGCAAGCCAGTAGCTACCTCTGGGAGCTGGATGCTCACTCAGCTGGGCACCCCCACTTGTAACTAACTTGTCAGGGCTCGCAGCAGCAGTGGTGATGGTAAGTGGTGCCTTGGTCGTGGCCACCTGAAGCACATGAGCAAACTGCCCCTGTCTCAGGGAGAGCCCGTGTTTGTGGGAGAGATGCAGTTGGCAAGTAGGGTTTGACTTCCCAGTGGCCTTGGCTGGGAGCGCCGTGTGTCAGCGTTAGCAGCGCCTCTGAAGTGAGATCTGTCAAAGTGCACTGAAGAGAGAGCCACTCACGTTAAAAGGCGTCTGGTGGGAAAGCTCATTACTAACGGCAGGAATTTTTCTGGGGAAGGCTAAAGGGGTGACAGACCTTTGTGAAAGCGAGTGCATCTGTCGGCTCCAGCTGTCTGATGCATTAAAGCGCACCGAAAGGAGCAGCACCGAAAGGAGCAGCACTTGGCTGCTGCAGCGCGCTGGCCTGCCTCAAGACATTCCCACCTGGGAAGGAATGTGCTGAGAGCCGGGGTGAACGTTACGGGGGGTTTTTGAGTTTTAAATTGCTGCTTCCCCAAGATGCTTGGCTATGTGAGTGTACAGAGTAGGGGGGGTTTCCCAAGGTGTGTGCCATTGATGGATGGGGTAACCAGGGCTGACAACAAACTTGGGGGCTTAAAAAAGCAAGTCCGGAAAGCTTTCAAGTGCCAATTGTTGCAGAAACATTTTGCAGCCTTGGAGAGAGCTCTTTCTGTCTCTTCCTACCAAAGAGAATGTTTCTCGATTCAGTCCTGATATCCCTTGAAATTAAAGGAAGGGACCATGAAAACAAGCTTTTGCCTGGTGCCTGCAAGAATGTATGTCCTGGTATTGATTCAGACACACTTTCTTGTTGCTTCTGCTTTTTTCTAGATTATGTGTCATGTGGATTATACATGAGGTTTTAGGCTTTTATAATTTTATTTTTTCTTAATAATAGAATAATTTAGATTGGAAAAGACTCTTAAGGTCATTGAGCCCAACTGTAAACTTCACACTGCCAAGCCCACCACTAAACCATGTCCCTGAGCACCACATCTACATGTCTTTTAAATACCTCCGGGGATGGTGGCTTAACCACTTCCCGAGCAGCCTGTTCCAACACTTGGCAACCCTTCTGGTGAAGAAATTTTTCCAAACTAAACCTCCCCTGGTGAAATACTACTATCTGTTGGAGCATCCCACCATTTGGGAGTAATTTAAAATCAACCAAAAAATGCATAAATAGGTAAAGATAAATACCCCAAACAAACCAGTGACTCCCTGGAGTCTCCCCCTTGTCCTGCCTCTGCCAGGTGTGCATTTGTGGCTGTCACTCTGGCAGTGAGGAAATTCCAGCAGTGAATATGCCATATTCATCTGTGCCTACAAACACCAGTAGGAAACCAGCAGCGATGCTCTGCACCCTCTTCCTGCCCATAAAATGCCTCCCTGTTTCACTGTAAATGCAGATTTCATTGAGCAGTAGCCTGGGCTAGGTAGCTACTGTCCTAACCCATCAGAGGCAAGAGTCAAAGCGGAACTGGGAATAAATGTGGTGTCTAGATCTCCTGTTCTGAAGTCCCTAGTGATGCATTTCGTTTGAGTGTGATGCTTGAGTCAGGAAAGATGGAGGTGGGCTAAACCCTTGTGGGTGTGTGGGCCTGCTTCATTGAAAAGTCTGGGCTGTCTGGTATGTCAGTCGATGCATTAGTTCCTAAGCTGCTGAAGTATACAACTTCCTGCATTTCTCACGACACAGTCTTAGATTTGAGTTCCCCAGGCTAGCTGTTTCCCCAGCCCTAAAACCCTTGTCAGGTTCCCTTGGGGCTCTTGACCCATGGCTGGTACTACGGGCCACGTTTCACTGCGCTGGCTTTGTCGTTGGCTGATAAAAATGACAGGGAAAGACAACTTTCTGCAAGACAGACTTAGAGTGCATTAAATAAATATAAATTTTATTAAAAACACCCACATCTCAGCGTTATCAGGAATGATATAATAATAAACAGCTTTCAAATAACCTGCATTACATTACAATACTTACAGTATTTATAACCATCCTCAGATTCTCTTTTTAGACATACCAAAAGTTTCATGAAAATGAATGAAACTAAAGTAAAAAAAAAAAAAAAGAGTAGAACATAAGCATAGAAAATGCACACGGAAGTTCATTACCTTAGTGTCAAACTGCTAAAGTTTCCTACACAAGTTAACCACTAGCTTTAGAAGTGAACTTTATACCACTGTGCGTCAATCAAGATGAAAAATTCATTCAAGTAAAGTTGACACCACTCAGAAGCATCTTCAAGTATGGCTATAGTCAACCTGATAATCCTATACAAGCAATTTTATGTCTGCTTTGTCATTCGTTCCAACTGAGGCAGGGTTCTGTACACCAAAAATTACAGTTCGGGTATTTACAATACAAAACTGATTCCCCAACTAAGCTTCTTGCTCCTGCTGCCAGCAGTTTGGCAAATGACGGTGCACGGCATATTAACCGAACATCTACGATGGATTACGTGAATAATATAGGACTCAAAAAAAAATATAAATCACTGAAAGATGAAGATTTATAATGATTTAACTAATCTGACATATAACAATTTTTTTTTAAAGGCAAAACTTTTGTTTCAATGCAGTGGGTAAAGTCACACATTAAGAATTAAAAAACAAAATTGCCATAATAAATATTTGCCCATTAAACCCAAAGGCCTCCTTTGATTTACTTGAGTTAGGCTGTGATTCTGTTAGATAAAATTTCTTTCGACCAAACTTAATCTTACAGTATATTGCACAAGAAATATCTGGGACATGGAGGTTTGCATGTTTAGGGAAGCCCTTGTACAGACTGTACCTTTTTATATTTTACTTTATTCATTACAGTATCCAAGAAGCCTTGTTTAGAGAGTGACTTGAACAACTCTAGCAAACAGTCACTTGCCAAACCCCTGCCTTACATTTTTCCCTTTAATCAGCTCAGTGCATTCTACTTTCTTTTTGTTTATTCATTTGAAACAGGCAAAACATTCTAAATCTCTTAAACACTTTCATTACAATAAAAAGAGCTAACAAATTTACAAAATTAGTTTTAGTTACATCAATACATGTACAAGAAAAATTAGAGAAGGGATTCAAAAGAAAAGCATTAAATCCCTGAAAGGAAAAAAAACCAAACCCAAACAAAAAAACCCCAAGAATAATATATTTACCTACAACAGCTTTACATACACACAGGTGACACGTTGGCATAGGAGAACATGAGCTGAAATATCCCTGAATTTTTAGAACCAAAAAAAAAAAAAAAGTTGAAGTTCAAGTTATACTTGCTAAAATGTCAAGTATTGAGAGAGTTTTTTTGTTTCATTTTTTTGTTTGTTTTTTTTTTTCAAAGGTTATTGGGGGAAAAAGATGGTATACAATATATAAACTTTCACACTCAGTTCAATATCCTATTGCCAAACTAGTGTTGAGGTATATGACAAGTAGGAACATCACTCAAACTTTTAAATGTATTTTTAGCTCACATTATGATATATTTGTAGCAGGCTGAGTAGCACCATGATGTGAATTCAGCTCAAAACCCAAATATATATAGATTTAATATTTTTACAGTACTAAAATACTAAAGCATTGCGTTAAAAAAAGTTTTGTTTACAATTTAATTTACTATACAACTCTCCTGCTTTTTTTTTTTTTTAATAGAAATTAATGATTTAAAACCACCACAGCAAGCCAGCTGCCTATTTTTTTTTTTTTTTTCTATTTCATCAACGGAATCACACAGAACTAACCCTGTTTCATTCATCTTGTGTAGGCATCGGTCTGTTCAATCTTCCTGGAAAAGAGGACACTTGCACCGATAAATGACTTGCACCACAATGTACATAATTATCAACACAAAAGCAATCTGCCATTCAGTATTTGAAGAGCGTACAGATCTTTAAAAACAGCAGAAGCCCAAGCTAACTAGTTGTAGTCTGTCGCATGCTGCTAATTATTACCTGTGGTTAATATAAAATCCTTTCCTTAAAACTGTACATACTTGAGCAATGAACTTGCCATAATAATTGTAGAAAACAGTTTACAGTATAGCTGTGTGAGATGAGCACCAGAAAAAACATGTGTTTTGTGTACTAAAGTATTCCCTTATATCCAGTAAGCCCCATTTTTACTGTAACTGACTGTATTAAAAATGGATATGTAGCCCACTAGCAGATGCACGGCTAAAACAAATGTATCTGCCTATTTTTTTTTAGTTTAAAAAAATTATCTTTGCATTTTAAAATCAAAGTAAACTCTTTTTTTTTTTCTTTTTTTTTTTTTAATGTCTTAGTACCTTAGCATTGTTCAAGTTGCCAAGCTTAGGTAGACAAAGTGCTTTTGAAACACTATTTAAAAAAAAATATCTCTCTATATATTTTATTGTCCTTTTCTAGGACTTGACTGGATAAGCAAAATCCAGAGGTCTTTTTAATTCCCATACGTTAAAAAGTAAGCTTATTTTAACACCAGGTAAATTCAATACACACATGAATGAAAAGGTCCTCCCTGTTGATGAAGAACATTTGACTACATCGACATTTTGTTATAAAGGCATTAACTGTTCGACTGTTAAAATAAAGACACCATTCTCTTAGATAGCACCATGGTTTTAGAATATCCAAACAAATTCAGTGTTTTGCTGTCTATTCATTATGTTTTATACTTATCTACTTTGTTAAATAAAATCAAGACTAATAAGATTACAGTAAAAACTGCATGTTAAAAAGCCATAATTCCAGTATTTCAGTACATCATAGATTCAGCACCAGATGTTATTTTAAGATTCCTGCAGTTGTAATACTACAGTATTATTTTTTTTAGGGTTTTTTTGCTCCTGTTCCATGACTATGCGAACTTGATGACACTAAAAGTGGCCACAGATGTGCAAAACTGTAAGAAAAAAAAAAATCCATTTGCAGATTCTCTCTTTCAGTAATGGAGCCAGTGTTTTCAAATGTAAATTGTGAAACACTTTTTTGTTTTTGTTTTTGCATAGGATGCTTTGGTCTTGTTTCCTACGTGCCATCTGTGACCACTTAAAAAAAATCAGTGGAAAATAAGTGCTCTAGTGAGATTTACCTCTTTTGCTGGTGTGCTGAGGCTTTTTCCACTGATGAGTTTTGTAAAAACACTGTTTTCTTCTCCACCCTTGCCTTCCCCAAAACCTAAAGAAGAACTACCCTACTGACAAGGTGTTTTTTCAAATGAGGTAACAACAAAGGTGTGAAGTTAGATATATCGGTTGTAAGGCCCTGTAACCCGTGTAAAGGCATATGGAGATGTAGTTACTGTGGAGTCTGTGGTGACCGACAGTGTCCTTTGTGCAAGAGACTTGATGAAGCGCACGTATGTTGGCTCTGAGGGTTCGTGTGGCTCAACAGGCTCCCGCTTTGCTTTTTTGCCGTAAGACTTCTGAGGCACGTAGTCTGGACCGTACTTTTCACATTCCTCTTCTTTCTCTCTCGCCTTCTCAGCCATCTTTGCCTCCCACAAAGCTAGACCATGTTTTGGCTCATTCATACTCTTGTGCTGGTAAAAGACCAGGGATATTCTGGTGGGATGGTTCCTGTTGGGATTTTTTAAGGGAGTCGTTGCGTGGAGCTCACGTTTTGCACACTCTATAAGAATTGACCCATGAGATGGAGCAACTGCCACTCCTCCAATTTCTGGATCCAGAAAGCTCTGCTCACTATCTGACCAGACTTCATCGGGATCCTCTGCTTTTTCTGGATTCAGCACATCAGCTTTATCTAAACCACCCTGGGGAGTAGTCCTATCATGGTTTTGACCTGGAAGCATGTTAGACAAACCATTAACTGCATGTGAAATCATTTCACTATCCTTATTTTGGAGATGCAGTGAATTAGGAGGACCACTAAACATACTTGAAGCAGAATGGTAGTTGTGTGCTAAATGTGGAGGGGGTTGCACGTGGTGATGTTCACTGGTTTTACTCATGGAGGCATAATCCATGCTCGAATTACTCAGGTTAGATTTTAACCTTGAGGCAACCTCCATAAAATGGCCGTCAGCCTCATGGGTGGAGTAAGAGGAAAAAGACCCTACGTGGTGGACATTTGGTCTAATGGTGCAATTACTGAAGGAGTCTACCTGCATATTTTGGTTTCCGTAATTCAAGTACTTGGGACCAAAACTCTGGTTATTCCCAAACCTATGCTGGTATAATGTCTGAATGGGTGGTAGACTTAGTTTAGACATATGGTCTTGGCTCTGGCAACTATACAAGTCCACGTGCTGATGCTGGGAAGGGTAGGAGCCCAAGTAAGAGGGGCAGTTGTCCATAGGTATATTTCCATTGCATTGGTAGGGTGGATATTGGTTATTTTGACTCAATGATCCTGAATAAGGGTGCATGGGACTGGAAGAATTCAAATAAGACCCCGTAGGCTGTGATGAGGTTGTATAGAGGTTCATGGGACTGGACCCTCCATAAGGATCTGAAGTGTATGAAGAGCTTGGATAAGCATTGGCTGGATTAGGCAACCTTACATAGAGATTTGCAGAACCTGAACCCGAGTAAGAGTTAATGGGATTTGACTGAAGGTTGTTTGGGAGAGTGCGCTGTGGATGCTGCTGCTGCTGTTGTGTGGCTGGTCCTGAAAGACGTAAAAGATCTGTAGATGTGAAAAGAAAGAAAAACACAGCACAAACAAGCTTTTTTTTTAAAAAAAAAACAACCAAAAACAAAACCCAAAAAACCCTCAGACAACAAACTACACACTTTATAGACCTTTCATTATACATATCTATGAAACTTCTAAGATAAGTATATCATATGATATGTTGACAGAGGTTCCCTTTCTTGTATGTCAAACACCATCCTTTAAGAAGCTGAATACACTAAGGCTACTCATCCTTTTTGGCATGTATCCAGTGAGATCAGATGCTAGTGGCAGTGGGGAAAAAGAGGACAGTGCAATCTGTTCAGTCACATGCACAAAATCCAGAGTTGAATCATCATTTAAGTAGCCTGTGAAATGGTGCATCAAAGTGCTCCCAAACAGCCGTGCACAAGGTGACCTTCTTTTCCCCAAGAATAAATAATTCTTCTCATCTATATTAATAGAACTGTCTAAAAAAAACCATCCCTCACTTTATGTAAAAAAAGACGGTGACATTCACTGTTAGAGAGAACAGTTCAGTAACAAGTGAGATTAACGGAAGACGTAAGAGCAAAACCATCATTCACTAAAGTGGAATGGCACTATTTGATGGTTACAAGCCTAGCCTGGGTCATGGGACAGCTGACCACTACTTGTAGGTATTTCCCTTGGAGGTATCACTTTTTTCTTCCCTGAGAAAGCTGCTGTAACAATAAAGTAGCCATGATTAACTCCTTCACTCAGGACTTTGAAATCTACTGATGAAAACTGCCAGGGATTGTTATGTGGATTTTTAAACTCTTTCTCCGCTATGGAAAGACCTGCTGCTTTTGGTCTTGAAGCAGAGAGTATAAATAGTGGTAAAGAGGTTAGGCTTGAATCCTCTCAAATGAGGAGGTTCTCCGTAACAGCGGCAGACAGTGAGTGATGTGTAGGTCATACTTTAAAATTTTATTGGGATGAGAATAATGGTTTTATTGAGACTCATTATAAATGGCCCTGATTTCTAGGAAGCTTACTACTGTTGATAAAGATTCTGATCAGATCCATGTGTTTACCTGCTAGCTGCTTCGCATGACCTGCCGCCTCAGAGCTGCCTTGCTTGTTGCGTGCTGCAGCAGACTTCTCTCTTTCAGCTTTGCTAGACCCATTCTCCAAGGAGGAAAGCTTTTCTGCAGCTGCTTTCTTTGCTTCTAGCTTCCTTTGCCGACACGTCTTGACAGGCTCTGCTAACATCCTTACTTTCCGGCGAAAGGAGGTAAGGACCTGGATGCTGCCATTCCTCTTCTTCTCCTCCTGGCCCTCAGTGCTTCCAAACTCATCCACGTCAGAGACTTTGTATAACGGGAGCACGTGGAGCTGCTCATCTTCTGGTGTTTGGCCAATTTCACGATTGTCTTCTCTAGTTAGTGTGCAAACCTGTTGGAAGGGTGTGTTAGAGTAACTCTCTCAAACCGGTCTAAGAAGAGTAGATCTGACCTCATTAATAATGCAGACCTCATTAATGTTTATAAATATGTAAAGGGTGAATGTCAGGAGGATGGAGCCAGGCTCTTCTCAGTGATGTCCAGTGGTAGGACAAGGGGCAGTAGGTGCAAGGTGAAGCATAGGAGGTTCCATGTAAACATAAGGAAAAACTTTTTCACTGTGAGGGTGACAGGACACTAGAACAGGCTGCCCAGAGAGGTTGTGGAGTCTCCTTCTCTGGACACATTCAAAACCCGCCTGGACGCTTTCCTGTGTGACCTACTGTAGGTGATCCTGCTCTGGCAGGGGGGTTGGACTAGATGATCTTTCGAGGTCCCTTCCAATCCCTAACATTCTGTGATTCGGTGTGAAATTCTAGCCTGTGGGTTTACCTTGCCCTGCCACTGTCAGCATTGGCATCTGGCAAACTATTGGTAAACTGTAAGTTTCTGTGCAATTTATGCATATCACAACAAGCCTGCAATTTCATTTCTTCCATTGCTCTGTTGGACAATGTTAATAGAAATGGAAAGTACATAGTACCTATTTATTGTATGTGTGCTAAATGAACAGTATAGTTAGGGATTAGCCTAACGTGAAATAACTGTGTGATCCGTTGTAGCGTGGCCAGAGAGCTGAAACAGTGGAGCCTGGGACTTGGTACTCACCTGAAGGTTTTTTCACTATAATACATTAGCGAGCTACCTATTAGAAATAGCGTGCAAGATAACATATTGCCACTGTATTTCACACTCCCTTACAGCAGCTCCTTGCAAAGGAGCAACTCACTGTACTGTTAATAATAAGATTTAAGGAGGTTGCTGTTGTGTCATGCAGCATGCTCATTGTGTTAGCTCCAGCTAAAACAGGTATTGGGAGGATCTCAGTGGAAAAAAGATGCTGATACAGGCATATTCTGTAGCAAAATCATTGCATCAGCCAGTTTTAGGAAGAAAGCTCAGGTAGAAATAAATTGTATTGGTGGCAGTTGCCTTGTCAATTAAATCAGACTCTGGGCTGTAAAAATCTAATTGGTATTAAAAAAAGTAGATATTCTCTCTGGTTGTAATAAGAGCTGTACTGTGAATCTAGGTAGTTGCTTCAAATTACAACCATGATGATTATTCAAAACTGAAGATTATTCTTTCTCACATTTACCCTAACTCTATTGTCACAGGGAGAGTAGGCATGGAACAGAAATAATCCAATACGCATTGAAAACCATCTTGCTTTTCTGGCATCTTCTACAGAACCTTTGCTGTACACGCTAGAGATCAGAACTGAAGAGAATAAAGGGCGTGTGTACAATACAAAGGATGTCAAGGCTTGCAGACTTTCTGCTCATCCCAAGCAGGAATGAAATCCACAAGTTCCAAAATGCTCCTGGTTAAGAAGTTATTTGTTTCAGTTTTATATTTTATTAGAAGATATAATCCAAAGTTGTTAGAAAATAAAGTGTTTCAACAGGACAAATATAAACCACTTTGTGCCAGGAACACTGGCACAGGCACTTCAGCCCTGCTGGGACCTTCTTTCCGTTGTCTCCACGGTTTCTCTTTTACTAGTTCTACATTAACACTTTCTTTAATACACCGTAAGTCTCATTCATTTGAATGAAAAATTACGTAGGGGGTAATAAATTAGCTCAATTACTGCTTAATGTTTCTTTGTTTAGCAATCTGCGTTATGCAAATATAAATCTAAACAGACGGGAGATAATGAGTTAAATATACGAAATCAGTGCTGAAGTAAGGACGCTGTATGCATCATGGACTTACCAGTGTACTCCCGTTCTGCATGTTGTGCAAGTCTCTGTGAGCATGAGCACAGAAATCCAGGCAGGCAGTGACCCCTGAGAATGGGCGACCTTCTTTTAAACCCAGGCGACACTCGGGTGCTCTGTGTTCATACTCGATCTGGAAAGAGACGACAGGTATCACTGCAACTGAGCTGGGTGCTCCAGCATACAGAATTAGCCCTGAATGCTCCACCCTGACAACATGCAAGTCTCCCTACATCTCGGAGGTGGCAACATATGGATCTTGAAGGCAAATAAAATCAAGCAATTTGATGGCAATTTCATATCCGCACTTCATTCCTTCCTGCTTGGTTCCCTGTTACCTTCTGCCTCTGGCATGATTGTGAAATTGGCCAGTAATACTTTTCCTTGTGTATTGCTTTTGATTCTCTGCCAGTGGTTGGTGTTTTGACATGACAAATGCAGCACGTGGTTTCAGTCTGGCACTGCAAGAGTAATATGTTTGTGTAGACTGGAAATATACCGAGCTATTAAAGTAAAAAGGGCTTTAGAAAACTGACTTCAGAATGACTTAATGAAAAATAATAATTTGCTTTTTGATTTGTAATATTTTGGTGCACAAAAAGTATATTTCATTGGCTTAAGTACAACTCTAACCCCTGACCAAAAGGAGAGATAATTCAGTACTTTCTACCTGTGCACTCATTATTAAGGAGATTCACAAAGAGTTGATAACGCAGCAGTGAACCTTACACACACACAAAAGGGTTTTTATATGGAAGATCAAGCCTTAGACAAATGAGGGTTTCAGATTTTATTTATAAAAAATGAAACCATATTTGTAAAATACTTTGCTGAAATTCATTTCAAGTGAATGCAAAAAAATCTACACTTAATGAAACTGAATGGATCCCAGTTTAAGTTAAGGTGAAGTTAGAAGTTTTGCCAAGTCTTGATCCAAGGTCACTAAAAAGACATCTATTTGCTCACAGATCTTTATTTTTAAAATCTGGAATATTTACTTCCCTGGAAGCTGAAAATAAAAGCTGAACAAAACTTGAAGCATGTAAACTTCTTTGGAATTAAACAAGAGTGGTCTGAAACGTTAGGCAGACTATAATTTTCTGATTAAATATACTGGTTGGACCTGATGATCCTTGTGGGTCCCTTCCAACTCACAACATTCTATGATTCTGTGGTGCAACTGTTCTCTGAGATGTTCTGTTGGGTCTAGTTGGAAAAACAGACCCTTTCCAATTCTAGATTTTAATCCAGACTTGGATTACAATAAATCTGGGCATTTGGAATTTCTTTTCAGGATTCAGAGGGGGACTGGTTTTAGGGCTTCTTGATTTTAGAACCTTTTACAATATCATACAAATTAGGCCTTGATCATCTCTTTAAAGCCAACGACAGTAGCTTGATCAGGGTTTCCCCACAAATACAAGGTCTGCATGAAACTCCTGAAACAGGCCAAACTATACACATGCCTTATTAGACAAGGTAGAAATTGAAACTTGTAAGAGCATGTATTTCAACAAGTGTTGGGCAGGACCACGGCTTACATGGAGAAAAGTTCTTTTGTGAATTTTTGTGGGAAGAGAAAAGCAGCCCAAGCAAAGAACCATTTTATTGTTCACCACCCCCTCATTTTTTCTTCTTCCTCTTCCGTTTTCTCTTGCAGAATGTCTCTCAGATATGTGGACAGATAACCACAGCTAGTGGGCATACAGCCACAGTTTCCTCCATAATGAGTCTCCACACATTATCTGATCGGGTAAGTGAAATTAGGTACGTCTCTACTGAATCTGCTTACCCTGTCTAGTCGCTACTAATTATGCAGTAAAGGAGTGAGTTTTATGGCAAATAAAAATGGACAGGTTTGTGTTAGTTTACTGTTCCTGTTACAGCTGGTTGCTACAGCATAATGCTGTCAACAGGAAAGAAGGAAGATGCCACAGTCTGCGGTGATGCTGAGAGTCTGGAGACTGTAAATTCTGTGGATGTTTGTAATGGCAGTGAACCTGAGCAATGAGAGCAAAGGCCAACAGTTATGCTTTTGCATGGGGTATCTTGTCAAATTTTGATGTAAATATCTGAAAGACATTTGGTAAAGGAATGCAGATGAGGGACAGCCACACCGAGAACCTCATACAAGCTTTGAATGTGCTGGTATCTGTGAACACTACTTCACAGAAAATACATGCGCGCGATCCCCTCACGCAAGAAGGCTGGTGCAGGCGCTTGTGTGCATCCGCAGGGCTGTGTGTGTTCAAATATGAAACTTCATTTTAAAAGCGTGTTTGTAATGGCTGCTTTGGTGAAACCTAAATTAATCTGCCACTTGGGAGAGGACAACTGAAACTGCAGCTTTGTGACTGTAGTGCAGTATGATACACTGCCTTCTGGCACCGCTGCCAATCTCGCACCATCTTCATGGCTGTTTTACTAGTTTGGCTGGTGAATCATGCTAAATTCAGAAATTTGTGTTGTAGAGCTGAAGAGTTCTGCTCAACTGTGAAGTAATTTTATTGTGTTGATGTAGGTGAAAAGACTAGTTCTATTTAGTGGACCAAATTCTGCTAGTTTTACTTTTGAAAGCATTTTAAGTGGAATTGTTCATTTCCATTTGTCTTTCCCCTGATGTCAAAGGAATACTGACACAAAATTTACATAATGGTTTGGTGCAAGGTTGAAGCATTTGGAAGTGTGGTAAAAAGCGGGTTATTTGCATGACTGTTCCAATTCCTTTTTTTCCTCAGCATACCTGGTTGTTATATGCATCAGGTGCAAGCTTCTTGTAGGTAGGTGCCATCAGGGTTGACAGGTTCTGCAAATTGGATTCTAGTTTTTCTTCCTGTTAGGAGATAAAATTTAGTTCAATGACGTTTTCGTACTGTATGTATGCGATCGAAGAAGTTAGGGTCTTTACACAATTATGCTTACACTGATAGTTGTGTAAAGGCCTAAACCACTATCATTCTCGTTTAGACAATAACTCTTGTGCATCTCCTTTTAATTTTATTGTTTCACAACCTTTAAAGTAATGGAAGTAGTAGTGTGATCCTTGCAAGCAGACATCACATGCTATAATCTTAATTTGGTTTATATTAAAACAAATCACATTCTTCAACATGGAGATTTTCTGGATCCAAGCGTGATGATCCTCGTTATTTTCGCTATTGGAGTTTTGGGAAAATAATACTCTTCAGAAAACTTGAGAGAAATAATATCAGAATGGTCCATCAAGTAAGTCTGGCTAATTCAAGGGTTCTGCACATTGCAGTGACAGCGCTGAATATCTTTTCATGCACCAACTAAAAATTATTAAAATACTTCAAACTTCAAAAAGTTCCCAATTCTTAAGCAATGAGGAACTGTGGATGTGTCTAGTAGCTGGTGATATGGAGGTAGGAATGATCACATTTCTTTCTTTCTATAAGGAGAGGACACACTCTCAAGATGAAAGGCTCTTTAAAACTGAAGTGATAACATACTCCAAAGTTGCTCCCCATCATCTCAGCATGAGAATCCCAAATTCAAAACCTTGTTTGTTTGAGGCCCTTATTTTTAATTTCAAGTGCATAAAGAGCAGTGACATAGCAGAGTGGTATACTTGTTTTTAGGAGTATTTTAGGAATGTGTGAAGAGCTGTGAAAACCGATGGGTTTGAGAGAGACATGTTGGTGAATTAAGAGTTTGTATCTCCTGCTATGGGACTGTATCCTAATTTGGGATGCCAAAATGACATTATGAAATTGTCAAAAATATCTTGCTGTGACCTTGTGGCTGCTGCCAGAACTTGGAGCTTTTGTATGGCCTGTAGGTTACCATTTGTAAGTGTTCTAGTTTTTATTGGTGAGGATCCTATCTATATTGTCAATAAACTGTGTCTGTTCTATGGGACCCAGCTCCTGGTCTGGAAGCACACTTTGGCTGCCCCCAGCTTTGTGTGGGAACAAGACTGGAGGGTAAAACCATCTTCCCTGCCCAGCTCTGGCTTCTGTGGGAAGTAAATCCAGGAATGCAAGCTGGAAGAGTGCCCTGGTGGGCTCTGGCCAGGTATCCAGCTTAGAAAATTTAGGGGGTTTAGGGTTGCAGGCTATGATAAAAGGAGGCTTTGTGGCCACAGCATGATTGAAGGAGACCCATTCTGTAATTCTCTGGGCTGTAGAAGAGCAGCGGGGAGGAAAAACTGTATGTAAATTATTATGATATTCTAAATAGTGTGCTATTCCCAGCACATGGCATAGGATGCAGAAGCACCTGGCTCTCTGATCATGTGAAAGAAATGCTTGTATTGTGTAAGACACCAGAATACAGTGAAAGGTTGGACCTCTGCGTCAGTACACAAGCAAGGGACTAAATTTGCACGTGCTTGCCAAAAACCAGACTGGGCCATTGGAGCCTCCCAGACCCATGACTAGCTGGAGGTGTCCAGGAGTCGCTGCAGTCGTAACTTCAAAGGTATCTTGTGCCCAGGCTGAGGTCAATGGGTTTTTTTATTATTCTGATTCATTTAAAACAGTTGACAGTTTGCTGTAACACAGAGCCCAGTCTGGAAACATTCAGGGGGGCAGGACTGTATGTACAATGAGTCTTTCTATCCTCTTCCTCCTATTGTCATCTCAGAGTTTCATCATGCTTGTCTCCATGCAGTCTGCTCTGGTTCCCAGTTGCAATGTTATGTGCCTTTCCTTGGTAAACCTTCTGCTCTGCCACTGGGGAATGCCCAATTGCCGGCCTAATACAGCCACAATTATTCAGGCCGTGCCCTCTCCTCTAATTGTGAAAGCCTGCAAACATGGTTTCGAGTCTCAGGGCTTTTACCAGCTGTCAGAATTTGGACAGTCAATTCAGCTGGCTCAGTGACTGGAATCAATCAGTTTTGACTGGCAGTTATTTAATTACCCTACATGTATGCCATGCAGGCAGGGCTCTGGCCCCTGGTCTCTTGTACTGTGTCTCTATTTACAGAGTGCCAGAAAACATTTCCTTGCAAATGAAGCTCATTTTAGAAATGGACACCAACCTCTTTTGGGTCATCCCCCATCAGCTTAAACTTTCTTGGAATCTTGCTTCTGGCAAACTTACAACCATTGTAGTACATGCTCCAGGAGCAACCAAAGGAAAATGAAGCACCACAAGTTTCAGGGTCCAGCCCTTGACATGCGCAAGTCCGTCTGAAAAATAAGAGAATATGTCTGTTACCAGCAGGTGAGTCACCCCGGGGCACTCCCGCAGTGGGCATCAGTGTCCTGCCCGTGCTCTGGGGAAATCACTGGTCTTGGATCATCTTCCATCAGTAAATGACGAAGAAACGAAAGAGGGAGGCATGAGCATTATAGCAGAAGAATTTACCGGAGCAATCTGATGGTTGCAAAGCAAGGACTATGGGGTTTCTGTGCTTCTGTGAGAAACCTGGCTTTGCTCGAAAGAGAGTATGTTTGCGTGGTGCCTTGTTAGGTAGTGATATTCATGGTACCTGCAAGGGGCATATGCTGATGGCACTGCAAGAATGTGGGAGCCCTTTGACAGGGGCTAAACAATAATTCCTGAAATATGACTCTACCCATGAAGCCAAAGTTACATGCAGTGATAGCTATGTTCATTTTGGTCTAAATGTTCTTCGCTATCAGAAAGACATGGGAAAATGATATAGTGCAATTTCTTTAGATTCATGCTAGCTTCTGTAGGGTCAGAGTGTGATTTAGTGCATCTAGTTTTCATTTCAAGGTTGAGGTATCTGCTGTCCTGGGTCCTGCTGAGATCTCGTCCTTTAAATACACTGAGATGCTTCACAACTCTGAGAAGATGTTTTTCCCTGATTCCTAAGAACACTTACTTTGCTTTTCTCACAAGGTTTGCAGGTTTTCAAACTGCCTGAAAGAGCTGGAAAAGTGATGCATATTTCAGGGTAATACCACGAGCAGAGGTGCCAGGTCCAAAGCTGAAGGTGGGGTTGCAAGTTTGGTGAGCATACCCGTTGCTCCACTTACTCTTCATTCAGGGCGCAGCGCCGGTTCGTGAGCGTGCCGTACTTTCTCAGGGTGTCGGTGAGTTCGGAGTAGAGCTTGTCAGCCAGGCTTGTTGGGATTCCCTCCCAGACCAGGATGAGAATCACAATCACGGCCGTCTCACACGTGTGGCCTGCTCGTTCACGCACCAAGCAGAGTAGCTTTTCCTCCTGACTGCTTCTGCGGACTACCTGCATGCACAGCAACACACACCCCCAGAGCCCCAACAACACAAACAATGTGTTTCTTAGTGCAAAGAGCAAGAGAATAGGAAACCTCAGGATTAGTGTGTGTGTGGGGAGGTTACTTCTACTTCTGTCTTCCTCTTTGTTTCTGGCAGCTTGGTCCATTTTTCTCATTTAGTGATAGGGGCCCAGGCTACCCTTCCTGTTCAATGGAGCTGACTCTAAGAGGCTAGGCTTGACTGGAAAGCCATGGTGGTGGAAACCAGCTTTGTAAAGGTGTTCCCCATGCTCTGATTCAGGAGGAATGTTCTCCTGAATCTGTGATATGGTACAAGTGGCCCAGATTGATTAGCAGGCAAAAGGAAGTGAGCAGTGAGATGCCTCCCTGCACAGAGCTGGGCGGTAGACACCTGCACTTAGGGCAGAGCCATGCGGGGAAAGGCAGGCAGCTAAGGAAGGGACTAAATAACTGGACTTGGGAGCTCTCTGCCTTTCCCTTCCAAACTTAAGCAGCTATACTTGTAATCAGCCACTCAGTTTTGTGATCTGCCCTTACTACACACAAACATTACAGTGATGAGAGGAAAGCAGTAGATGTTGTTCAAATTAAAGTGTCCTTGCTTCTCAGTGGTTGTGCTGCTGTGGGGATTTCTGAAGAAAAGGTGCAGTTTAGCACATGTAAAGTCTATAATCATGGATCAGATTTTCCTCGTCCTGTCTTTCTGCAGCCTCCCCAAACCACTCAGTAATTTGTGCAAAGGTACCACAGTGTTTGCTAAGAGGGTGTCCTAATGCCTCTTGAACTGGAAGGGCATTTTAAAAACATCACAGTGGCGCTGTGGACTTATTTGTCAGCTAAAATTAAAGAGCAATGAGAACGCCTGGTGTTGTGAATCTTTAAGTGAAACTGCCTTCCTTCTCAGATTTCCCTAACTTTAAGCTAAATTTTATTCTTGCTGTTCTCCATATAACAAGGAAATGGAGTGTGAGAGACAGAGGTGGGAGCAGGCTACAGGCGTCCTGTAATGCTGCTGCTGCTGAGCTATTTTAAGTTTTGGAGAGTCAGCTAAGAGAAGGACATGTCACTGCTGTCTGCTTACATGAACCATCATACTGACCTAGACTGGTCTTAACATTTCTGTGCATCACTTACCCATTTAGCAATTGGACATCCTTGAGAACTTTTGCCTTCTTTCCCAGTGTAGACAACCCTCTCAATCCTTATAGCTTTACCCTTCTGTCCAAATCTTAAACAAACAAAAATATGTACAATAAGCAGATTGATTTGGTTCTCTGTGCACACTATAAAGATGTAGCACATTTGCCAGTCTTATCTTAAAAAATAAACACTATGAATTACAGGGAGGGATGTGCAATGCAGTTTATCTTGCTGATTTTATTATAGTGGTGGATTGATACATTAAGAGAGGGAAAAGTCTTTAATACATCCTAGAAGAGTAAAAATTATCCATATTGCATTAATATTCCCCAAACCCTTTAACTGTTTCTGTAGAGAATTTGTTATAGATGACATTTTGAAAAGTGGACTTGAAGTCTCTCTATTTTGGGGAGGAATTTTACATTTTTCTTTAATTTCTGGGTTAAACATGAAGTTATTACTCTGAAATGTATATAATTAAGTTGTCATGGAACAGCTGGCATGCTGTAGTCAATCTATTAATTTTCTGTGCTTGTTTCTGGCTTAGAAACAGTATGAATCACTTAAGTCATGATTAATTTGCATCATATCTATTTCCTTTACTTTATCATCTGCTCATAGACTGTTACTTATTTACTTCTGCCTGACTTCTATACTGAATTAGGATCACAAGGTACCCTCAAATGATGCCGTATGTGTGTCTCTTTTTGTGACTGAGGTGGGCAAGCTCGGCTCTTGCTGAAGCATTTAATCACGGTGATTATGCCATCAAGGCAAAATCTAGCCCCACATGCAAGTAGTGCTGTTACCCAGAGCAAACAGGATCCACTTTCCACATCCTCTGATGGACCAGATGGAAATACATGGCAAATGTTAAGTGAAGCAAATCTTGAATCAACAAAAAGCATCAGACCTGTTAAGCCATTTCCAGGCCCATTTTTGGCCAGGTCTCTCCCCAGGCTGCTGCAGCTGGGGGGTGCACACTTGCTGAGCCCTAGAGCACACCAGGTCTCGGGTGAGGCCGTGCGTTAGAAACCTCAGCGTCTGCAGCGTTACAGATCCAGCTGCCGTGTTGACTTGGCTGCATTTTGGGGACTGGACAAACTGCACTTCCATCACTGTTTCTTCAATTCTGCTGCTGCTCTCACTGGCATTGCCTTTTGTTTGGTTGTTTAGTTTGTTTTTTTAAAAAAATAACCAAGTATGGGGACTAAGTCACAATCCCCTTGTTCTTTGCGTGTTACCTATAGAGCAATCAAGATAGTTCCTTCCTGTTTTGCAGCCCTTTAATGATGCCTTGAGAACTTTTGACCTTTCATCCCTCTTGTTTTTGCACTAAAATCTTGGTGACATATTTAAGAGCAAGTATTTCTATTTAAACTTCTGTCCTGTAAAGGAAATGAAAAATGCTTATTTTTAGATGTGATCTCATTGTGAAATTTCAGTGTCACAGGAAATTATACAAATAAAATCAAGTTGTACTACACATGTTCTGCAGGCAGCTCTTAGATCTCTTTTTCCTAATTAGGCTTGGATGTTAGTATATATTTGTTTCTTTAATTAACCACATTAAAAAAAATCTTAATATTTTCTATCTATTTGCTAATCTGGATTGCAGGACAACTGTGCGGATGCAGCTATAGAAATATGTTGTACGTTACACGCTGGAAATGAAATTTGTGCCTGAGGTTTGTCGTGCTTGCTTTCAAGCCAAAGCTGATTGGCTTTAAAGCCAGAGCAAAACTCACAGAGCATGAAGTAGGGATTGGGAGAAGGAAGAGGTAAAATGTATGTATCCATTGTGGATTCTGCAAGAAATTTGTTCTGGTATAGCTAAAATATTAACTGCAAGTCTGAATCCAAATCTTGGTTTGTTTCACAGTGCTGATACCTAAAAAGTCAATCCATACTAATGGGAAGCCAGTTTAAAAGTGCTTCAGTTGTGTTTAGTGTCACACACTGCACACATGTGCTTGAGAGTATCTTTATAGCCAAGTGCTTTTTTAACTTAGGGATACAAAATTAACTAACAAGGAGGAGTTCTGGAGTCCTTCAGGCAGGGAATTGCACAGTTCACACTATATGAACAGTTGAAAACTAGCCATTGTTCAAATGGCTGCTGCTATACTCTGCTGAACCTGGCTGAGTAGATGCATGTTATCTATAATCTCTCAGGATTTCCTTCTGCCAACATGAAATGAAATTAAATGCAAAACAAAAAAAGAAAAAAAAAAGAAAACAGGTGAGGTCAATATTAAGGATGAAAAATTACATTCCAACGTAAAGAAATGAAAAAAGTTTCATCTCTAATAACTGACATAATGACATGAATGACTTTCCTCTTTTATTGTTATTTGTAAATACTAAAGAATTAACCAGTCAATGAGAGCTCTGGAGATAACAAATTCTAAGAAGATTCTCAAGAGGGTCAGCATTCACTCTCCCTTTGTAGGAAGAAGCTGATTAATGTATTTCACATGCATCTGAGCTGCTCACGTAGCTGAAAACAAGTATTGGGGTAAGCCCTGCACAGGAGTCACAGGGAAGGAGGTGCTAAGAAAGAGAAAGGACCTTGGGACTCAGTGGTAATTAAAGAGTTTAATATGCCCTAAGTGGCCCGTGGCTGTGCACTGATGAGCACAAGCTACAGACCTTGCTAAGAAATGGCCCTCCTTAGCCCAGACACAGCACTGCAGTAATGCCCATTTGCTTTTGGTTCTGCAACTAGCTGGAGGGAGGTTCTTTGCAGTTCTGGAGTCCAGATTTTTATGGCATTAACAAATCAAATTCCCATCTGTCTCTGACTTACTGGGGAGCTTTTTGTTTGCTTGTTTGTCCAGAGGGGAACTGAGTTCCCAGATACCTCTCAAAATCTGGCCATTAATGTCCATGCATGCCAAAAGCTACAAGTAATTAAGAATTCACAGTGCAGAAGTCACTTTTGTGACACTTTTAAATTTAAACACCTTAGAAAGGCTGATGGGTTTTGCACTTACACATATTTTTAAATAGCACACATCACGTATCTGCTCTGTGCCGTTCAAATTTCCTGGTTTGGTTGGCTTGGATGTAATGAATATATCATGGGTCGCAACACGATACAGGGATTCTCCACAATCAAGGCAAGGCTGGTTTTGTGCAGTACTCTGAGGAAGCAGGATGTTTTTTCACAAAACTACTTATTGATTCTTGGGCTGAAATCCTATCCAGCAACTTTCTGTCACTCCTTTGGACATGACTGAGTCAGATTTAGCCCTTTAGGGGTTGTACTATATACTTAGTAATTTGAGGGGAGGAAGCTAATTTTGGAGTGAGGTATTCTGCTCTTCATCTTCCTTCTACCTTGGCATTCTCCTACCCAGAGGGAGCACCAGGTCCATGCCTGCTTTTGCAGCCACTGCCAACTGTCTTGCTTGGCAGGCTGGTGAATACTTGTTCCTGCTTGGGTTTACTGGCATCTGTCTCAAAGTACGCAGCCTGTGCCAGCCAGCAGACTATTAGCTCTGTCAAATATTGTGACTCCCTAGTGAATAGTACAGTGCGTAATGTTGGCAACACTGGAGTAGCTAAGCCTACAAGTAATTACTTGATTTGCAATTGTTTATTTCTTTATGTGCAAAAGCTGGAAAAATTCTGACATCTACAAAAGGATAAATGTTAATCTGCCCTGTGCCTTTGCACTTATTACCTTTCTTCCATGATCTCTCTAATAGCTGCCACATTAGGACCGGCTCCTAGATGGGTATAGAAAGGACCTTCATCTTTTTCAATAATTTGCTCTGTTTAAAACAAAATAAAGGTTATTACTTCGAAGCTTAATTATTTAATGTAAAAAGTCACATTGCAAAGCTTACATCTAGCTCATTAGAATACTGCTGTTTGGGTCTGGGGTCAGAGTTTTCAAACACTTATGTCTAAAGTACACCCACGCAATTTGTACAGAACATGCAAAGCACGTGGCTAATCCTGCAAACAGCCGTGATACGGACTGTGTGCCCTTCGTTGGCAAAACACTTGTTTCACATCTTGAGCCCTACACTGAAATTCACAAGGCATTTTCCTGTTATCACCGAACAATTGTTTCTCCTTCTCCCACTTCCTCCTCTCCCACTATCTAGAAAGGAGGATAAACGGCATAACAACAGTAAATATTGACGTTAGTGAGCTGTATAGTACTTGTTTTTAGCAGACATGTTACAGTGTAGGAACCTACAGCTTGAGAAAGTGGCCAGTAAGGTTACATAAAGGATTTCTGCCACCCACAGAAAGACTCTGTGAAATGGAAAAAAATAAAAAAAAATAAAAAAAAGCAAGTTTGCTGAAAGAAATCCTGCACAAGGCTTAGTCAAAATGCTTGCTAAGAATGTGGCCTCAGTTTTCTGTGTGTAGGTAGGACCATGTCAGCATTCCCAGTATATGCTGCATGTGTTTTGATACCAGGAGGCAGGCTCCAGGAGCGAGAAAGAAATGGCCAGGCTCTGCCTGTGTTCAGGAGGAGACAGTGGAGCTGTGCTGACTTGTCTGAGGGCTGACTTTATGCTTTCTGCCATGCTAGCTGCAGAGGCTGCATGAGGTGGTGCTGCTCTTGACATACAGGCTCCAGAAGCATGATGAAGGCTTCCTATGAACATGAACGTGTCAGTGGGGGAATGGCTTAATTTAATCTTCCTAAGGACAAGAGTTGGTAGGAAAGAGCAATAAGCCCTGTCAATTATGCTGTGGCACTGGGTTCTTCAAAAACGACAGGAACTAAGTTTCATGCTCCTTTACTTCCTAGAGGGTCTGCTAAGACTGAAGAATTAAAATGCAAGTTGAGAATAAGCTCTTTTGCTTAGTTAGCAGTTGCAGTGCTGGCTAAAAAAGTTGTGAGAATAATGAAATGATTGCCAGAAAAACTTGTGCCAAATACATTGGAGAAACTGTCTCGTGGAAAAAAAGAGCAAAAAACCAAAAACCAAAAAACTTCAGTATTTTTAAAAAAACTACAACCTACTTTTGTAGGTTGTTTCTTATAAAACAACAATGAACAGCAAGAAACTGGCTTCCAGTTTTCTTCCTGGGAGCTTTGGAAATCCATTACCTCCTCTTTTTGTTCCCATGAATCATCTCTGAGACATAGCCCCAAGCACTTGAAAAGACAAAAAGGTCCATTTTGCAGTTTTGGAGGAGCATTGGTTCAACCTTCCTCTTTTATAGCTAGTATGAAATCCCAGTACGTGAAACTATAACAAGGATTTCCACCCCCACTCCCCCATTTTTGGTGCTGAACTGTCTCAGCCTGAATAATTTATCCAGTAGAGTCTGAACGTGCCTGTTAGACCTGGCTACATGCAGTGTCAGTGCTGTATGGAAGCTCGGGCTACAGGGCCATGCCTGTCACACTCCACTCTGCTTCCCTCTGCCCTGTTCTTCCAGCTTTTGGAGACCAGGTATGCCATGAAGAAACTTTGAGGATCCCCTCGCTGCTTTTTTGGCGCAGCTTGCATAGCTTCTCTAATAAACTGCTGGTCTCTTTAGCCTTGCAGGAGAAAGGGAGGATAAACTCTTGCAACAAGTGAGGAATAATCTGTCATTCCTTCTTTGCTTAGGCTTTACTGAGGGGAACTTCAGCAATTTCACTGTCAGAGCAAAAAATGGTGCAAGGATCTCAAGCTTTGGACCCAGGACATGTTTTATAAATGCCATATCTAACCTTGATGAATAAATTAGGTTATAAAGTTATGACCTACTTTTTATCAGCATGTTGTCATTACATGTCTGCTGCTCAAGGAGGATGGAAGTGAGGGGATGCATTACTGGCCATAAGCATTCTGACTGAAAATCAAATAGGTAATTGCTTTATGAAATATTGAGAAAGAAAGGGCCCATGTGTAGGCTTGGATAAGTGCAGTAGGCATAAGCGTATAAAACTGCGATTTTGTAAGTCTTTACTAATTACCATTCTAAAAAACCAACCCAAAAAATCCTCAGCAAAAACATCCAACTAACCCTGTGATCCCAGCTTGAAGGCTCATTTCCTTCCTGTGAACTAGTACGTTTTTAGTATATCTCAGCACTTACCAACACAGCTGCAAGAAGGGAAATCATACTGGGTTTTGGCAGGTGTGTCCAATAAATTTTTTACAGGAGTATCTAATAACTTGGAAGGTGAGTCTAAAAAATTATTGAGAACAGTTCCAGCTGTTCTTTTGGTCGGGGTTTTCTCAGCAGACACATTTGCTTGCTGATCTAAGATTGGGGTCTGAGTGTCAAAATCTGCAGCACCGGTATTTCTTGTTAGGATGGTAATAGGGCCTGCTGTTTCAACCTTCACATGTTTAGGTGATTTGATAATAAAAGTCTTGTGATCAAACAGTGATTTGACCTGTATCTGTTTCAGCTGCTGTTCCATTGTCTCGATGATGCTCTTTTGTTGCATGTTCTCGCAGCCAAAGTGCTGATTCTCTTGTTTAATTGTTTTTTTCCACATTTTGTTTTCCAGCTGCCCAGCTGAGGGACGCATGCAGACATTAGACTTTGTGCCAGCCTCAATTTTTATAGGCTTGCGCGCTGCACTGGGACCAATCTCGGGTTTGGGTTGCTGGTATGCTTGTTGCTCCTGCTTTTGCAAGAGATGCCACCTTAGAGCAGCATGCTTTTGGAAATCCTTAGGGGTCTGGGACTGCAAATGACAGCCTCTCTGGTCTTGGGAGTGTGGGGCAGTTTGCTGGCTCTGTGGTAAGTACCGCTGAGGAATCTGCGTGGCTTGTTGGCTTGGGAGATCTTGGTTCAGGCTACCACCGTAGCATTGTGTTTGCTGGAGTGGCGGTAGCTGTATAACTGAGGCTTGTTTTGTCTGTTGCTCTTGTTCCTGAAAACAGTGATTCACATCTTGCTTTGCGGTCAGGTTATTTGAAAAATACTGTGCGTGCTGCAAGTCCTGCATTTTGCTGGCTCCAAAGCGTTCAACGTTGGCGGCGTTTTCTTTCTTCTCAGAAATCAAGTGCGCGTTGTTTGGGCAGGGATGCTGCAGACCAGCACTTGCTTTCTGAGCGTAAAGGGGAGCTTTGCTGTTCACGCTCTGTACCTGCTCTAGGCCCGGCTGGGGGTTACGCACTGGGAATGCAGTTGGTTTCATGTACTTATTCCCAGTTTGAAAACATTCATCTACTTTAAGGTGATTGAAGGATGTCCTGCCTAGCAGCTGCTCAGCATTGCTTTGAGAGTGGGAAATGTTTTGGGGCAGGTCTTTATTTTTCATTTGCAGAGCCTGTTGCTGGTTTGGGGTTAGCTGCGGACTGCACGGCAGTTGCACCTGCTGTGTCTGTTTCTGAAGCATCTGGTGCAAAATGTGTGAATTCGGGAATTGCTCGTTTTCCCCTGGCTGGGGATTCAAGTGCTGCTGTTTCAACGGGGCCCCTAGAAGCTGTTTGGCTTGTTGTTCTGGTCTCTGCTGGAAATGGAGCTGCTGCGGAGGGTGTTGCTGCACTTGGGACTCCAGTAGGGAATCCATCTTCATGAGATGTGGCTGCGGTGAGTGTTTCTGGAACAGCAGCTGCTGGTCAGCTGTGGGACGCGGCTGCAGCTGGGAGGTCTCGCTTTTGTACAGTGGAGGAATTTGTTCCTGTTGCATTATCTTCTGGCTCTGGGGCTGTCCCAAAGGCCCCTTTAATGCATCAGGACTTCCAGCATACTGTTTTGTATAGGCTGTTTTGGCTGTTTTTGCCTGGAACTGAAGAATTGATCGCAGTAACGCTTCGCTGGGCTTTTGGGGAGGCTCTCCTTGGCGGAACTGGGTGGAAACCAGTTCTATCCAGGCTGGTTTTGAATAACGTTGAGCCTGTTGCACAGGCTCTTTCACTTGGTCCTTTTCTTTGTTGGGAGGAATCTCGGATTCTCCCTGTCCTGGGAAATGCTGATAGTGTTGCTGCAATTCACTCTCGCTTCCGCGCACTTGCAGGTTTTGCGGGGGAGGCTCCGACGCCGGCGTCATTTCTTCCGGGCGCTGCTGAATCGAGGCGGCCACAGCAGCTTGCGAGTTGCTTTCACTGGCATCTTGTTGTGGCGTTTGTGCCTGCTGCGGAAGTTTCTGCTGAGGGTGAAGTTGCTGGCTGAGGCTGGGACTTTCTGATGTTGGTCCCTGCTGTTGCCCTTCATTCTTTATCTCCCCAGGAAGAGTTTCATCACATCTGTTGTCGTAGGAATGGGGTCCTTCTCGCACCACGACAGACAGTGCACTGTTCATTTCCGGAGCAGGAGGAGTGGAGGAATCTTTGTGAAACATTGAGTTCTGTTTAAAGAAAGCACCATTTTTTTCTGCTTGCTCAGAAAACCTTTCCAGAGTGGCGCTCTGAGCTTGCAGGTTACTGCTGGAACTTAGAGAGAGGTCTTGGTTGGGAACCTGCCCTACGCTTCCACGAACAGTACTGTTTCCTACGGGTAACTGGTGTGGATCATAGCCTGGAATCTGCTGCTGTAGCTGTAGTTCTGGTTTCTGAAGCGAACAGCTACCTGGCAATACAGGTGGTTTACTGGAGTCTTCTGCGTTGTAGACCTCAGTAACCACTACAGCTGGCACTTGAGGCAGCTCAGAGTTTGAGGTCTGTGGGGAAGTGATCTGCCCTGAGGTATGGGATGAATGCGTTGTCTCATAGGACAACTCATTAGTAGCCTGACTGGTAATGGCATTGATATGAGATGTGTTCTGCATTGCTATGGAAACATGTTCTGGATAATATTGAGACAGTGTTTTCTCCAGGAGTTCACCATGCATGCTTTCCATGGAAGAGGCAGAAACTGTAGCACCATTAGGCATTGGCACTGCCTTGTTCTTAAGTAGTAAGACAATGTCCCTGTTGTGGCAATGAATGTTTTCCCACTCCGGCTCATCCTGAATCAGGAGGTCATGAGGGTTTTCTGAACCACCACTGTTGCACCTTGTAGACTGCCTCAAATCTGAAACCTCATTTTCTTGTTCTGTAAAACTCTCAGGTTTCTTCTCACTGTAACAATTGGAGACACTTGGCTTTTCATTCTTATCCTCTGGCTCAGCTTTTTCTCCGTTTACCTCTTTGTCTTGTTTCGCTTTCTTGCTCTCATGAAGTCCATACAGAGAGGGCTCACTAAAAGTGCGTTTTATCCCACCATTTTGCATATATTTGGAATATACTTTCTTTTCTTGTAAAAGGTCGGGGCTAAAGCGGCTGTTTGGACTTTCCTTCAGGTGGGGCACTCCATAGTTGCTTTTAATGAATAGCCGCTTGTGGTCTCCATTTACTTCAACTTCAGGCCTCTCTGCTGCTGGACTTCCATTCTGTAGCTTCACCGCAGAAGGCTCTGCCTGGCAAACGTGAGAAGATTGCGGTATTAGAAACGGACTCAATCTATTGCCGTCAACATGGTTGGTTCTGTCCTGTTCCATCTGGCCTGCTCCGGGGCCATCCACAAGGCTACCCTCTGAACGTATCTGAAAGAGACAAGAAACAGGAGAGGATCTAAGTCAATTCTAGTTTCCACTGATGGTCGGCCAATTACCAACAGTTCCTGCAGTGTTCAAGCACAGCTGTGTCCTGACCAGCTCCCACGCACAGCCTGAGCTCACAGGCACATCTGAGCGGTGTTTCGCTACTCGACCACCTTTCGCAGCCCCGTGTCTCCCTTTTTCTTGAAGATTTGTTCTTCAAGATGGAAAGAGTAAATATACAGAGTGGCTCCTTAACCCCATTTAACACACAAGCAGATATTTTACCAAAAAAATCTCTCCTAATGGTGCAAAAAATATTCTCTGCTTTCGAACACTTTGCATAGACTCCTTTGTCGTCACTTCTCTGTGGTAAGGCAGAAAGTCATGCCAAAACCATGGTTCTCAGACTTGGTGCTAATCCTGTTATTTGATTAAGTGTGCCAAACCTCTTTTGTGTGACTTGAAGGATTATTGCCACCGAGATTGCCAATTAGAGAGGAAAAACCTCCTTTTTTTTCTGTCTCCAGCTGTCTGACAAGGTCTTTTAAAACTGGCATTCCTAAAGACTCCACAAGTGGCATGATACATATGTGAGACAAAGCCACGCTTGACTGCTGTCCATAGGAACTCGTACACTTCATCAACATCTTGGTAATGTTGACAGAAACAAGTTGAGAGATTTCTGAAAAGTTTGATGGAAGTGGTATTTTTTCAGGTATCAATATCCTTACAAATTTACCAACAGACATCAAGCACAGCTTAAACTGTGCATTTGGGTTTTAAATGGAGCCCCACAGCTGTGGAGCTAGGATTTTTTTCTTCTTTGTTTGGATGGAAAAAATCCATTTTCTCATATACTCTTTATATATTATTTATAAAATGAAGTTTTTCATTGGATAAAAGTACTGACAATGTGCAGTGAACAAATTCCATATAATGACAAGCTAATCCTGTTCACATGGATGTTCCTGGGATTCACAATCCCAGTTAACATAGATAAAGCCCTTGTTTAACTCTGCCTGTAATTTATTCTTTGTTGGCTTTATGGTTCTCAGCCAGTCACAAATGACAGAAGACAGACTACACGTGGCTGGTATTGCCCCTACATAGGAAGAACTACCAGACTGTAAAATTTCTCCCATCATGGTTGCTCTGCTTATGTATTTACCCTACACTATTTTTTTTTTTTTAATTAATGCCAAGGAACATGTAATTTATCCTTTCAGTGCAGTATTGCCTTACTCAGTTGAGTAATATGATTCTAAAATGCTTTTAAAAGTAATATGAATTCATGAGATACATTACATCCAGCAGAATCTTCTCTGCTTGCACATCTGATTTCAGTATCAGGACAATTCAAACATACATTTTGACTGGCAAGCAACTGTATGGCGACTTGTATCCCCTTCCTCCTTATCCCAGACTTGGTTTTAGATTTACTTTTGACCTCCTGAAGTTTTTTTCTTTTCTTTCTGTACTCAATTTATATTTTGTATGGCAGAAGTAGAGAAGTTCTCTCTGCAAGTAACAATACTTTAAAAAAAGAGTTTTTGAAGGGAAAGGTAAGACTGAGGAGATGGAAAAGAATGTTTGTCCATCTTACCTATTTTCTTGACAAGGTAAGGTAGGCTTCTTCCCTTCTAGATATATTTTAGTATATTTCCCAGCCTAGCTTTCAAGTACCACAAGACATGAGCCTTTGCAGCTTTCCCACGGAGATGATATTCCACGTTTATCAGAAAGCAGCGAGAAAAGGATTCCTCTGATGTGTCATTCTCGGCCGGGTGTCAGAATTATGCTCCCAAGAGTGTCTCAAAAATAAAATGTCAGCCTAATTTGGAAACCATTCTTTGCCTTCACACCTTTCATACCTAGAAATTGCAGCTGAACCACAGCTCAGACATGAGTGTGTAGGCTGCTGTATTTTGCAAGTATGAAATGACATAAAAGGCACGATAGTAATCAACAGTCTGCTGTCAAGCTGCTTCTAAAATATTTATTTCTTTAAAAGAAGTTTTAGTCTGTGTGTGATTGAGCCATGAGAAACTTCCTCTGGCCATCAAAGTCTGCCTTGCTCCTTGTGTTCTGGTGTGCCATGTGGGTTGCAACTAAATTCCTTCTGGGAGTTCCCAGACAATCTTTATTCTGAACTCCTTATTGATAGGTAAAAACACCTTTTTGTTTAGAAGTGGGAGCTGCCCGACTTCTCTAAACTTAGCTTGCAAACCTGTCAAAGGAGTACCTCTGTGCTTAGCAAAGCGTCTTAGGTCCATGCCACCCTTAAAAACCACAAGGTTACCTTCACTGTGTGATGTGGATTATTACTCATGGTATTCTCAAAGACCTCATGGTATGAGACAACCAGTTCCCCCAAATGCTGATCACCTCCAGGGTAAAAGGCAGTGGTGTCAGACATTGCCAAACACACGGGACTCATTTGGTTCTTTAAAATACAAAGTTAATTCATCGATCGAAAGTGCCAGACTTGTGTTCTTTGAAATGCCTCTAGGATTGCGGTGACTTTGCGTTATAAGCCTTTCTCTCTCTGTCTACACTCAGTTATTCACAATCCTCAAGTCACACCTAAGAACAAATCTTACTCGAGCAGCTACAAATCACAGCAATTATTTGTGATTTAAAACTGGCAAAAGACAAATGACAGCAACACCTTTATTACTGGTTTTAACTGTGACACCATGAAGATATTTTTGATGCTGCTGCTAAGCAGACCTGGTTGCGCCTTACAAAGTCTCTGTGCTGCTCTCTGTAATTGTTGTGGGGTGAACAGTCTGCCTCTCAAAGTAAATCTACCTTTCCCTAAGCATAGCAGTTAGCCTTTTTCTCTTTCCCATAACTATATTTCATCCAGACCATTTAGTAGCTCTGCATATTTTTCTTCAGCTACAATTCATTAGAAATTCAAGTCACAGCAGCAGCATCTGTGAAACAATTACTGCATCTAGGACTGACTCTGCAGTCTAATCCATCATAATTATGACTGGCCTCTTTGAAGATGCCACGATGCGTGACTTAAATATAGCACATTACTGTGCAAATGGATCAGCAGCTCATCCCACCAATATGCATTCAAGTTCTAATTCAGTCTGCCACCGTTCGGCTTTTTCAGATGCAAGCAATGTATGTACATTTATTTTTTGCCACATATGGGGCACAAATTGGAAATTGGCTACTGAAAGAGAGTTTAGATTTTTTTGTTGTTGTTGTTCTATGGACAAGCTTGGCACACTCCTGCCACCTCTGTCAATATGGGAATACTGAAAGACTATGGAAGGTGGTATTATGAGCACGACAAACATTTCTGTGGCAACACAAGTACTCTTAGTTCTGTCATTTTCTTTCATGGAAAATCTTTCTTTACTTTTACCCAGTTCTGGAGGTTCATACCTTATTTTATACAGCACCCATACCTGGGGAGTTTGTGAATGCAAAGCAGCTCAGATGAATGAATGGACAAATACACCCCCTGCGGGGAGTACGACATTCTGCAAAGCTGAGCAAGATTCCTAGCAGAAAAAGCAAGTGGAGGGATGCTGTGTTAGAGTACTTGTGGCCCTAGAAGAACTGAAAGGTGGGAGGTCAGATGGGTTGTTTCACCTTCTGGGCTTAGCTGGGATAGAAATAGATCTCCTCAGAGGTTTTTCTCCCCAGCAGAAATATACCTGCTCAGATCATAACCTCAGCTGACCTGTGCTCGAGTCATTATCAGGATAAGACTCAAGAAAGCACAAGTTGGATACCCACGAGCTTGTTGATGGCTCGACTGGGCTGTCCCTGGAACGCTGCCACAGCCTCCATCCTGCTGGCACCCTTCTGTCACTGCCAGATGACACAGGGGTCTAAACTGCTCCCAGACAAGAAACCTCTGTAGCTCTTTCTAAATAGGAGGTGAATTTACCTATATGTCTTACCAAACTCCAGTTTGGCTTATGCTCTTCTGCTCCTATCACCTGGGTACAGTAGTTGGCTTCACTTTTGGCTTAATTTGCTCTGTATTATGATGTGCTGTTGTGCAGTTGCTCCTCTCCTCTGAAGTTCATGACACTGGCAAAAAAGTCTAAAACCTGAACTTCCAACAAGTGAGAAAGGTCATAAAGGGATTTTTTTTTTTCCTATTTCAAGAATGAATGAAAATTCAAGAAAAGGCACGAGTAGAGTTATTCCCAAGTAAGGACGCTCAGACATGGCATTACCAGAAAGCTCAGTTTCTTCACTAAAGCATTGAATCTTCTAGACTTGCACACATGTGAAATTGTTTCTGATTAACTCTGTGTCAGAGTTTTCTCTTTTGTAACTTCAGAACAAGACGTGTAAGCAGTTATAATGACGCTCAACACCATGACTTATAGCTGTGTGGTTATCCTGGGATGTCATTTTTCTGTGGCCTATCGAAGTAGCAGTTGCTTCAGCTCTGCCTTGGGTTAACACCTGTAGGCAAGCTGCAAATGGCACTAGAGGAGAAAAGATGTGCTAATGGGCGATGCAACACAGCAGAGCTCCTTATTAGTGAGACATTTCCATTACTGCTGTGATAAAATGTTGCACACATGGAAACTGTGCTATAGTTTAAGGATTTCCTGTATGTTTTGCACTTAAGGTGCCCTGTGTTTGTACACTGAGACACAAAGCCAGCTTCCATGTGGAAACTGATGGGAGAGGCGAGACCAGGACTATGCCTGCTGAGATTTTGGGAGGTGTGCCATTCGCAGAACAGCTTCTTCCCAAGCCAGGGTTGCTGGTAGTTTGTATTAAATACAATACCATTAGAAACCAAACCCTGTGTGGGCCTGTTGCTTAAATATGGGTCTAACATGCTTTTCTGAAGCCAAGGCACTTCTGAGAGAGAATTTTAATCCTGTTGTCCAAAGCAGGTTAGAAAGAGAGATTGTGTTTGTGCCCAAGGTGAACTGAGGCTCTGAACCCCACAACATGCCCGAAGGATTTGCTCTGCTCCCTGCCAGCGGCACTGCTGCCCCGCTGCAAGTGTGGTGGCTGAGGAAAACACAGTGAAACTTCAAGGCAGATGTAAAGGGGGCCCCAGGAGAACAAGGACATGCTGTTGTTAGTTGGGCTCTATGGCTTACAACGGGGTCCTTTTGCACTGCATTCAGCTGTCTCTTCATTTGGATAGTATATTTATTCAGTGCATTAGCAATGCTTTGGAAAAAGCTCACGTAAGGATGCCATGCATTCTCTGTCCCTTTAAGTTTTTAAGTTAAGGCTATATTCTTTCTAAAATCCATGCATTGCTTTCTCATTGGAGCTTTAAATAGCAGTTAAGGGGTTAATCTAGAAACTACTGGATGAGACTGTGACTGTATTCTGCAGGAGGTCATATTACATGAATATAATTGTCTTCTCTGGCATTTAGATCTACAAATAATCTGTGTCAAAGAAAAGAAAATGTGGGATGGCTAAAATTTGTTATCTAATTTATAGCTAATTTATCCTTAATTTACAGGGAAAATGGTGACTAGCGACTATAGATATAAGCAGACATAAGGGAATGAAGAGCATGGGATTTGTGAAATATGAGGATTAATAATTCATTATATCTTATCCAAGCCAGAAGACTCATAATTCATGCATTTTAAAATCAAATAGTGCTAAACCCCCCTCCATTTATTGACACCAGTTCTTGCATTTCAGTGATGCCATCATCTAATTGCAAAAGCACTTGAATCAGTTTGAATTTTGACCTTAATGCAGAGGGCAAGAGAGTAAAGCTAAACTGGTCTGCACAGTGACCTTCCCCTTGCTACATTACATAACCACCAACAAGACTGGATACTGCATAATATCTACCCAGACATGAAAAATTGCGCTGTTTTAACAATTGCATATAAGCAAGGGGAGTGAAAATTAAATGCCTCTACAATATGAGTGGGAAAAAACCAATTATGTGAAGGAAATGAATTCAGGAATATAAAATGCGAGTAAATAGGAATTATAATGTTGCATCATACAGCTCCCCAGTTCCTACTTTTTTGTGATTTATGTTCTAAACAAACTTTGCACCTAATTGTGCCATGTAACACTTCCAACAGAAGAACACAACTCTTCGAGTTGCTGGTAACGCCACCATAGTATGACCAGATTAGAAACATTCCCGAAAGGTCAAACGTGAGAACTAGGTTGGATTTAAGAGACAAAAGGACCTTCCCGCTGCAATAACCAGAACATTCAAGATGAGGTGGCACCTATGCTTGTTCTTGCCAGTTGTAAGCTCGTTTCTGTGGTTTAAATTTGGTGGATCCAGGTGGTTTACAGTGACAGACTATCGCACAGAGCTGTATTCCTTCTCAGGTTAGCCTGTTTGACATTACCTTGGGCGTTTGTATGCCGACACACTCCAAGACCAGCATTGCTCAATTTCTTGAGCACCATCTTGATTATGAGACATCTTTCACAAATACAGGGAAGCTGAATTAAAACACCCTTCTGTCTTTGCTGGTTTTGAGAGTCACTGTAGTTGATAATTGTAATAGGAAGGCTGCGGGGATGGGAGTTACAGTCTTAAAGGCTGAGGATGCTCAAAGTGTGCACTGGGTGAGATGCTTCTATGCCTGGGTATAATGAGAAACTTCTCTTGTGTGCCTGTGAAGTCTGAACCAGCAAAACTGCTTCAAATTGTGACCCACACAGGGCATCATTTGGAGAATTCAACGGTGCCTGTGGATTCAACATCAGGGAAACATGTTGGAGTAGGAGACCAGAACCAAGTCTCTTTTTTCTTCATCTCAGCCAGTTATCATGCCAGGTTAGGTGTGCTGAGCAAAGGTTGGCAAGGTGGGGTGGGCAGTGTTATTAGGTGCACAACTGGTGCTCAGACCTGTTTTTGATTTCTGGAGAAATGGTGTAATTTGAGGGATGATTTTCCTCTCAGTACTTCAGCTACCCCATGTGTCAAATGGTAATGATGATACTGGCTGCTGATTAAAATCAGCAATCCGAGAGCAATAGCTCCCTGCTCATGCTGTTCTGACCAAGCTCTGCAGTGCAGCGTGCCTCTGTGTGAGCGCCAGAATAAGCAAGCGTTGGTGGCTGAACCGTTCTTCAAGACACGCTTGATGTTATCAACCTGCCATTTAGGGAAGGTTACCAAGAGGTCAGTGTCATCATTATCTTCCACTTTCTGTGATCTTTGTCCATCTGGCTTCAAACCTGGATATAGCATGGATTTCTTGGGTTGATGACTTCCTGACACCAGTTGAAGGTTGGTTATCCATGATGATTTCATCACAGCTGTCGGCAGAGTTAAGTAATTGGCTGTTAAGTAGTACATCCTCCTTCAGAACTAGCAGCGCTGGAAGAGATTCTCTTGGCTCTCTTCACCCCATACTATAAAGAAGAAAGGGAGGACCCAAAGGAAAGACCACTGGCAAGCTAAAGATTTCAGGGTTTCATAAAGCTGGGACAGTAACATTAGAAAACAGGAACAAAAATGGTCCTGTTGGCATGTGGGTGGAAGAACTGATAGAAGAGAGCAAAACGTTGTGGGCTGCAGCGTCCTCGGAAAGCCTATTTACACAGCTCTGTTTCCCATTATCCTTTGAACTTCAAATAGGAAATCCTGTTGGTCTCCCAGTTCTCATGAAAACAGAACTTTGGATGAAATGCAGTTTTCTTAAATTTCTGCTCCAAAAATTGAAGGTGAAGGTCATACCAAGAGGAGAGTGGGGAGAACGCCGAGACAAGGGTCGATGGGTCCCAGGATTACTCTGACTGTTGCTCTGGACATGCCCAGAGGATGAAGCATGGCTTTCAGCCCCTTCGCTGGCCACACTAGAGGTAGCCCTTACACCCCTACACATTCCTCCTCCTTTTTTCTCATGCCTCTGCCACACGAGGCTGGGGCGCTGTAGTGAACTTCATTTTCAGCTGCTATTTGCCCCGAGGGGCAGGTGCTGGGGATCCCTGCCGGGGGCGGCGCGATGCCCCTGTGTCCGTACGCGAGATGCCGTGTGCCACTGCAGCTTCTGTGTGGTGTCCTGTGTCCTTCTGGGGATTTACTTCCAGATGGTGAAGTTGGAGGAGTTGAGCCAAAACAAGGGTACTTGCTTTGGAAAGATCTTGTACTGTTTTATTTGTTGTGTGATTTGATTTTAAAATGTGTTTCCGTGCCCACTTGTGATTTTTTTTCCCCCCCCTTCCTTCCAATTTGTGCCTTACACAACTTACAAACCATAAATGCAGGGGAAAAATAGGTTTGTCAGGGGCCTGAGGAGATGACTGCCCTGCTCCTCGGCTCCAGGGCAGCACCAGCCAGACCTGTACCAGTCCATTCCAACCTGTTCTCAGAGGTCTCTAATGATGAGGGTTGCATAATAACCCACAATAACATGCAATGCTTCATTAACCTTACTTATTAGAAAGCTTCTACCATTTAAAACATAACCCTAGATTGTCTCTTCCCATCTCCCACAGACTCGCAGAGGAGTTTCTTTTCTTCAGTGCTATGGCTTCTTTCTCCCCATGTAACTGAAGACGGATATTAATGCTCCCCTCTTAAGACAGAATAAATAACCCAGTTTGTGACACCTGATCTCCTCCCCGGGTGGATCTGCGTCCATACCATTTGTTCCCTGACCAGATGCATGGAGGTCACAAAGCAAATGCAACAGTCTGTTCTTCGGAGACCTTATGCACATGCCACGTTCTGCTAGATTTTCCCCGAATTCAGATATTTGATATACAAGCAGCTATAATATGTGCCTATATAATAATTTCAAATACCTGTATGAATTAACTTGGCTTTTCCCCCAGTAACTAAAACCAGTTTTATTCCCTCAGCATGAGAGGAACTGTATAAATGGCACTGAAATCGACAGAACAGGCTTCTTACTTCTAGAAGAGCTTTATAGAAGAGGTTGTTTCCTTAAAACCTCCAACTTCAGTACGTTTAAGTCTGTGAGCTACTGGCACAAACATCTCTTCTGACTCCTACTGTTGCTGAGGATCCACAGAAGATAAGAATCTAATGCATTTTTAGAGGTCTATTAGAAGATGCTCCCTGGAGCTATGGTTGCCATTCAGCTTCTTTCTGCATTCGTGTGTGGTCTTCAGGAGCAGTTTTCATGTGGGTTATTGCAATCTACACACAACAATGGCATGGATTATCGTGCTGAAATCTACATCTGAGAGAACAGCTACAATTGCCTCTCCAGATGTACAAGAGATGAAAGACAAGGTGTTTTTGATGACCAGAGCCGGGTGACGACCTAAGAACAGTCAAGATCTACCCTTGATAAAAGCACAACTCTAGGAGAGAAACGAAACATCGGAGCTGGCGCTGCCTTGCCACAGTTCTAGGCACACAAGAGAGCTTGGCATGGGTACTGTTGCCATCCCCTCCAGTTTTAGGCTGGAGATGAAGATATGGGGCTACATTTTCATTTTGAATACTCAACACGAGCTTGGAAAGAACTTGATCATTGACTAATCTTAGATAAAATTGTTCAGGGCCCAAACAAATTGTAAGTCAAGAGACACCCACTTCACATCATGCCAGCATTTATCAAGGAGTTAGAGCCTCATTTCTTAAGGTTGTCTTGAAAAACAGATTTTCTGTAGTTACCATCTTGGCTAAAGTCATTTTCCCTTTCTAATTTTTGGTTTTTTTTTACTTGGCAAGAGAGTTTTTAGCTTTTTATTTAGGCGGCCACTATTAATCCTGTTCTGAGGATCAAGTGATGGGCTCCAGTTCGTGCTTCCACACAACTGAGGCCATTTCCGAGTTCCTTCTTGTCTGTTACATCCTCACTTACATAGAACACTATATATTATCTGCAGCCATTTAAAACTTTTTAATATTTAAGCATAAATGGGGGTATGTGGGGAATTTTTATGTATTTTGTGGCAAGAAACATTTAGTTAGAGAGCAACTAGAGAAAAAAGCTTGTTACAGGGAGACAGGCATTTGCCTTTCTACGGAATCTCCCTTCGGTGTTTCAGGGAAACTGGAAGCTAGCAAAACGTCCAGATTTTGTGAACAGGATTGTTTGTTCAAAAACACAGCTCTAACATGAAGGTTTCTCCCTTTAACCAAATTACAAGACTGGATGAAAACTTGGGATTGCTCTGCCGAGAAAGGGTTGGGATCCCAGAACGAGCTGGCACTCCTGCTTTCCTTTAATTTCCAATAATTCAAAGCACATTCTTTCTCCTGTTTAAATTTTCCTCTTTATGGCGAGATGCAACATGAAGAGACAGAAAATTCGCTGCTGCCAAGCTAAAAAGGAGGGGGGGAAACTGGCAGATTGTGTTTTAACTCTCGCTAATACTTCCAGGCTCCTGCAGCTGACACTTGTACGAACGGTATTTGAGCAGTCGTGAAGGGAACTGCAACACTCCTCTCTCTGTCCTTCCTTTCAAACATTTTCAAAGCTTTGAAAACAGTCGGTTGTTCTTCGTTCTGGCAACTCGCCATTTGCTGCCAGCTCACATCAGTTCATAGTCTTCGGAGGTATCCAGTGACTCACATGGATTTGAGAGAGTCTGAGGCGCTAATGAAAGACCTTTGATATTTTGGGATATTTAAGAGACATACAGAAATGGGTGAGTTAAAAGAGCTGTTGTCAGTTCCTGCAAAGCCCGCTTCATATTCTTGGTCACGAGATACCGTTTCACTAATTGATTATTGTCTGTCCATAACACAGTCATGCTCTTAGTGCACAAAGAAGCAGTGTGCATGAAAAGCTCACCATTGTAAAGTACACACTCAACTGGATTTAGAAAGCTGGGAACTATAGACACATCTAAGATATGGGGCTACTCTGAATGCAACTCATAAATCATAGCTGGGACCTTTTTCAGCTTAAGTAAACATCTTTACTACAGATGGTGAAAATTAATGGAAGCACTTTAAATGCCTCTCTTCACTCTTCCTTAGAAGGCTGGCAGGTGAGGTCTCCTCAAAAGGGTCAGGTGACTTTTTGTTATTTAAATCCACACTTCCAGCAACGAGGACCTGATCCCACAAGTCCTGCAGAACTGCTCCTAGCTGGCAAGGATATGCGAAGCGTTTGCCAGGCTCGTCCTTCAGCCAGAAGTTTAAGAGCTGAGGTGGTCCTGAGCTCAGGAAAGCAGGTGAAGGGATGGACGCCTCGCACTGTGCTGGTCAAGTTCCCCTAAGCTGATGTGCGTCCTTGTGTGTGAAGTGTGATTGCGCAGTATAGTTGCTGCTTTTCTTGCCAACACAAAGCTCTGCTCCCTCTTCCACCCCCCCCTCCCCCAAAATGCATCAGGGAGAGAACAGGGCTGGGGGCAAAGCAAGCATGACAGGCATTAAGCTCTGATATATGCAACCAGTTTTGCTTAGAAGAAAATGCAATGCACTCTGTGCTCAGTTGTATTACTTCTGTACCGCCTTTGGGGGCAATGAACAGCTGCTTTTCCTTTAAAAAAGGAAAAAAAAAGGGGGGGGGGGGTTGGGAGAAGAGAGGAGACAGCTATCAGGATACTAAATGTCTAATGCAGTTACTTAAGCTAACATGCATGCCACTGTCGAATTAATATAAGGCCACTTTATTTTTGGTTTGTTAACAATCTGAGGGGCAGCCAGGCTGATTATGAGAAAATGAGCTAATAATTTTACTGTGGGAAAGGTGGGGGACAACGATGAATGGCAAAGTTTATCTGCTAGTTACACTGCCCAGCAAACAACTCTTCATACCAGCCTCATCTAGCTGGCAAGAGCTTGTGTGTAATTGATGTGTAATAAACCAGAAGTATGCCCCAGCTCCCCAAACCAAAACGATCTTAAAAGTTTATGATAGGTATTGATGATTAAGCAAGTGTTCTGAAAAGTTAGTTGCACCTGAGATTAGAACTAAAAGTGAGATGGGCATGAAAAAAAAAATTCTAGAGTACCTGCAGTTAACCTTTAAAAAAGCATGTGGAGGACCAAAGCAAATCAGGTGAGCACTAGAGACTGGATAGGTGTTCCCATACTGCTGTGCACCAGCTCTGCAGCATGCCAAGTCCTTCAGAGGAACTATGGCATGAAGCTGTTTGGAGTCTCTGCTCAGGGCACTGAAGCCTCCCAGCCCTTCCAGTTTACGCCCTCCTCCCATTGGCACTGTTAAGGTCCTTTCACTGGCTGGTCCCAACCAAACCACGCTCCTCTCTCTTCAAGCCTGGCACACGGGCCCCGGGCACGTGAGCGATACTGGGCGTGTGTCAGCGCTGCCCCACAGGGCCCCAGTCCGGCCCTGGAAACCCACGGGGATCCCGGCAGCTCCCGGCCTCCCCCAGCCTGAGCTCCCTGCCCCGGCCCTCCTGCCC